AATAATTTAAATATTACATTTTCTTCGCATCACAATTTTCTGTTAAAACGGGAAATCAAATTCAATAACAACGCGCTCTTCTAAATTGTTAATGTTTCGAAATGAATTCATAGCTGCGCGCTGAAAAAGTCGTTGCGTATACATTGAACATGCAAATGAATTCTGTTGCGATTTGTGCCGTATCTTTGCTTACGAATCCTAAAAATATCGACACGTCTGGCGCGACGCGATCATTGACATTATGACAGTAATTTCCCAAGCGATTTGTTATCTCATTCGAGGCATCGCGACATGAAACCAGCGTTACGAGAAATAGCGACACAAGTTGCGAATTGAATATCGTTTATTACAACGTCACTAGAACGGTTTATAAACATTTCATAAATAGATACTCGAGAGAGAAAAGTATTTAGTAGAATGTCAAGCATTTTTAATTATGTACGTGGAAAAGATAGAGATAAAAGGATAGGAATTTTAAGCACATCGAGATATTATTTTTGACCTTTGAAAATTTTTCTAGTCTAATAGATTATACAAGATGTTGCCAGAGCTACTTTTTATCTATTTATTCGTTTATTAATTTAAGAGAAAAATAGCTTATCCTGAGAGAAAAATCTGTAAGATTCTTGTATAATCGTATCATTAAAATGCACTTATCTTATTATTATTTCTGTTTCTACGAACGTCTGATTTTACATACACAGAATTATCGCGAAACTAAAATACAATAATACTACTATTCTGCGGTACAATGGACGAAGAATGTAACGCATATTTTCTGTTCTTATTATTTTCTGCAGACGCTTAATAATTCTGGACAAAAATGTAGGTTTATGCCGTAATTACGGTCAGCCATCGGGTATACACTTTAGTTAAGTGATGGTCGCTGAAAAAACCTAGGCTTGTGTCAACTTCCCTTGCGCTACCTACGCAAAGGGCTCAGCCATATCATTAATTATTCGCGCCAGTCCGTTGTCCTGCGACATCCATTTCCGGTTACAAAGGAACCCCTCGTATATATCTTGTCTGTTTGGATCTAGTTAACTCTTTGACTCGCGGCGGTCCTTTTCGTTGAACGATAATTGACATACATAATTGTTATATATCCCACTGTGTGTTAGCCTAACGAGACTCCAACTGTAATTTACTCCAGCTACCGCGTTTGTGATAATTGTTAAACGAAATTGTCGAATACTCGCATATTTATCGATCCAGATTCTCGAAACTGTTGAAGAGTCTATTCATGATGTAACTTACATAAAATCGTTTTCATCGTTTCTTCACTTTCCTAGTCTGCGTCCATTATTCGATAAGTGGCGAATATCGATTATGAAGACAGGGAGATATTGCAAGGTGGCTCGGTGGCGCGGATATTATTAAGGACAGAGATGCCGGATTAAACCGACGACTTTGAAATATCGTGGATCCGACCTTCGTGCGCGCACTCACTCCAGTTTTGCCACGTCCGA